AAAATGGCGGACACGAGGTACAGCCCATCATGTCAAATCGATATCACAGGATTCGGCATGATCCAAGGAATCCATAGATACCACATTTATGATTTTCTGAAAAACTGTTCAAAGTTATTGGCCAAAATAGCCATTTTTCCATATCTCATGACCCGTAGGTGGCGCTATTCCCAACTTTGGTATGAATCTCAGAACATGCTTCCGATGAAGCGTACCAATTTTCGTTTCGATTGATTCAATTTTGGCCGAGATACAGCCTCTTAGGCATTTTGGGTGGACCTCGTTAAGTTTGCGACACCATAACTTTTGAACAAAGATGAATAAAAAAAATCTGTTCAGTCATTTCTGTGCGGCTCAGTCCGAAGATCATTTGAGCAAATTTTGGACAGAATTGGACAAAATTTGAAGGAGAGTAGGGAAAAATGAATACTGTACATTTCAAAATGGCCTCTACTGTAATGGGCGGGGTCTTAATGTAAGGTATTGGTTGTGATCAGCATGATGAGAGGAATCAGGTGTACTAAGTTTCATGTCTCTAGAGCAAAGGGTTCAAAAGTTATAACCATTTCAATGTTGAATTTTTGAACTGGTGGTGGCGCTATAGAGTTGGTCCTAGAGGGTCAAAAATTGGACCAATTACTAATAATTACCATCACTACAAGTGTGCCAATTTCAACATTTTCCTACTTACGGTTCATAGGGCTGCCATAGACTTCCATTTGGCGGAAGAAAAGAATAAATAATAATAATAATAAGAATACTAACAGATACAATAGGGGCTATCCCTTCGGGGCTTGGCCCCTAAAAACTAACAGATACAATAGGGGCTATCCCCTTCGGGGCTTGGCCCTAAATATAGCTGCAAGCAGCAATGCAGGGCCAAGCCCGGAAGCAGCAGCAACTCCGACATTTGGAAAAAAAAAAATGTTGGGTCAGTAGTACAAGTGAAAATAACCTCAAAATTAAGATTTTTTTTAATATATAAATTTGCTGCATGTTATATTTTTGGAAGTCCTTTCTCAGACAGACACCATGTCTAGAACTGAAACAACTTTTCCACCACTTAAGGCCACAGTACCTCTTGCGGTCTGGGCATGTGCCACACAGGATTCGAACCCACGACCGCAATGGTTCGGGATTCGTGACACGTGGTTTAGCAGCTTGCGCCACACAGAAGACGCAAATAACTGAGCTGCAGAGGAGATCCTTCAGTATAAGAATAAGCACACAAAATCATGTTAACGCAATTAGCATGCTAAGCTAGCTCAATGCTAACGTAGCTAATGGTTATCCTGATAGCTGAAGAGCCGCATTCAAAAGAATTGCACTGGTTAGCATGCTAAACAATTATTATGCTAAGCTAACTAGCATAAGTCAACAAACACAGGCTAGGTCAACTTTGGAGGCAAATATCTCTCAAACGATAGCGAATATCAAAAATCTGTTCAGTCATTTCTGTGCGGCTCGGTCCAAAGATTATCTGACAAAATTTTAAACAAATTCGAGCAAGATTTGCAGGAGGAGTAGCGAAAAAATGGTTTTTCATTTGCTCCAATATGGCGGACAGTCACATTGTTGAAAATGAAAAATGAGACATCGGTGGAATCGTTATAAGCCAAGGAACATATTGACATAAAGAAATTACATTTTGAACAATATTTGCAAAAGTTATAAGCGTCTTTACAAAAAACCTTATAACTTGGAACACTAGGTGGCGCTGTGATAAAACTTCTCATGTACCTTCAGGGCATGCAAATGATGATCCATGCCAAATTTGGTCAAGAAATTTCAAAGAGGTTTAAAGATATTGCAATTTATGACAAAATTCAAAATGGCGGACACGAGGTATAGCCCATCATGGCAAAATCGATATCCACGGATTCGGCATGATCCAAGGAATCCATAGATACCACATTTATGATTTTCTGAAAAACTGTTCAAAAGTTATTGGCCAAAATAGCAATTTTGCATATCTCATGACCCGTAGGTGGCGCTATTCCCAACTTTGGTATGGAACCTCAGAACATGCTTCCGATGAAGCGTACCAATTTTCGTTTCGATTGATTCAATTTTGGCCGAGATACAGCCTCTTAGCCAATTTTGGGTGGACCTCGTTAAGTTTGCGACACCATAACTTTTGAACAAAGATGAATAAAAAAAATCTGTTCAGTCATTTCTGTGCGGCTCAGTCCGAAGATCATTTGAGCAAATTTTGGACAGAATTGAACAAAATTTGAAGGAGGAGTAGGGAAAAAACTGAATACTGTACATTTCAAAATGGCCTCTACTGTAATGGGCGGGGTCTTAATGTAAGGTATTGGTTGTAATCAGCATGATGAGAGGAATCAGGTGTACTAAGTTTCATGTCTCTAGAGCAAAGGGTTCAAAAGTTATAACCATTTCAATGTTGAATTTTTGAACTGGTGGTGGCGCTATAGAGTTGGTCCTAGAGGGTCAAAAATTGGACCAATTACTAATAATTACCATCACTACAAGTGTGCCAAATTTCATCATTTTCCTACTTACGGTTCATAGGGCTGCCATAGACTTCCATTTACGGAATAATAATAATAATAATAAATATAGCTGCAAGCAGCAATGCAGGGGCAGCCCAGCAAGGCGCAGCAAGCAGACCATGCAGGAACAAAGCCAGCACATCAAGTAGGCAGCAGCAAGCATTTAAGCACCAAGAGCACAGAGCCAAGCACATCAGAAATTAAGTACAGTAAGTTCTTCAAGCAGCATCAAGTACAGCAAGTCACTTTAAGCACAGCAGAGCAGCAGCATTTAAGCACCATAGCAATGCAGAGCCTCAAGAACAAAAACAGCACAAATTGAATACACATGTAAATGAAGCACAGTGAGCATTTAAGCACAAACAGCTGCAGAGCAGGAAGGAATTGAAATGAAAACTTATTACACAATTTTAAAGTCGCCCCACGTGGGACTCGAACCCACAACCAGAGTGGTTCAGTATTTGAGATACATGGTTTAACATATTGCGCCACTCAGAGGTTGTGAATTTCAAAGCAGCAGGGGAGAGGGTTCAGTGTGAGAATGATTCACAAAAAAGTTCCATGACATGTTATCCAGATTAGCATGCTAAGCTAGCTCAGTTCTAATGTATCTTATGACTTGGTGCATCCAATCGTGGCAAAATGCATATCCTCTGATTCGACAGGACGCAGGGAATCAATAGATACCAATTTTATGATTTTGTGACAAACTGTTCACAAGTACAGCTTCTGATCCATCTCTGGGTCAACCTTGTTCATTTTGCGACATCATAACTTTTTTTTTCCCCCATATTGCAAAAAAAACGGGAACAGTACTTTTATGCGGCTCGGTCCGAAGATCATTTGTGTGCATGTTTGGAGAAAATTGTACAAAATTTGAAAGAGGAGTAGCGAAAAAACTGTTTCCCATTCGCTCCAATATGGTGGCCAGTCACATTGTTCAAAAGTAACATATGAGATATCGTTGAAATCGACATAACCCAAGGAATATTTTGACATATAGAAATCAAATTTCAAGCAATATTAGCAAAAGTTATAAGCGTTTTTTCAAAAAACAATGATATCTCTGGAACAATAGGTGGCACTGTTCCCAACTTTGGCATGGAACCTCAGAACATGCTTCCGATGAAGCATACCAATTTTCGTTTCGATTGATCAAACTTTGGCCGAGATACAGCTTCTTAACCAATTTTGGGTGGACCTTGTTAAGTTTGCAAAAGCATAACTTTTGAAGAATGAAAAATAAAAAAAATCTGTTCAGTCATTTCTGTGCGGCTCAGTCTGATGATCATTTGAGCGCATGTTTGGACAAAATTGGACAAAATTTGAAGGAGGAGTAGCGAAAAAACTGAATACTGTACATTTCAAAATGGCCACTACTGTAATGGGCGGGGTCTTAATGTACGGTAATGGTTGTGATCAGCATGATGAGAGGAATCAGGTGTACTAAGTTTCATGTCTCTAGAGCAAAGGGTTCAAAAGTTATAACCATTTCAATGTTGAATTTTTGAACTGGTGGTGGCGCTATAGAGTTGGTCCTAGAGGGTCAAAAATTGGTCCAATTACTATTCATTAGCATCACTACAAGTGTGCCAAATTTCATCATTTTCCTATGTACGGTTCATAGGGCTGCCATAGACTTCCATTGGCGGAAGAATGAGCAAATTGTTATTTTGACAATAACAATTGCTAATATAGCTGCAAGCAGCAACACGGGGCCAAGCCCAGCAAGGCGCAGCAAGCAGACCAAGCACAGAGCCAGCACATCAAGTACAGCAGGCATTTAAGCACCAAGAGCAGTGCAGAGCCGCAAGAACAAAAACAGCACTAATTGAATACACATGTAAATGAAGCACAAACAGCAGTGCAGAGCAGGAAGGAATTGAAAACTTATTACACAATTTTAAAGTCGCCCCACGTGGGACTCGAACCCACAACCAGAGTGGTTCAGTATTGGAGATATATGGTTTAACATATTGCGCCACTCAGAGGTTGTGAATTTCAAAGCATTAGGGGAGAGGGTTCAGTGTGAGAATGATTCACAAAAAAGTTCCATGACATGTTATCCAGATTAGCATGCTAAGCTAGCTCAGTTCTAATGTATCTTATGACTTGGTGCATCCAATCGTGGCAAAATGCATATCCTCTGATTTGACAGGACGCAGGGAATCAATAGATACCAATTTTATGATTTTGTGACAAACTGTTCACAAGTTACAGCTTCTGATCCATCTCTGGGTCAACCTTGTTCATTTTGCGACATCATAACTTTTTTTTTCCCATATTGCAAAAAAAACGGGAACAGTACTTTTATGCGGCTCGGTCCGAAGATCATTTGTGTGCATGTTTGGAGAAAATTGGACAAAATTTGAAGGAGGAGTAGCGAAAAAACTGTTTCCCATTCGCTCCAATATGGTGGCCAGTCACATTGTTCAAAAGTAACATATGAGATATCGTTGAAATCGGCATAACCCAAGGAATATTTTGACATATAGAAATCAAATTTCAAGCAATATTAGCAAAAGTTATAAGCGTTTTTTCAAAAAACAATGATATCTCTGGAACAATAGGTGGCGCTGTTCCCAACTTTGGCATGGAACCTCAGAACATGCTTCCGATGAATCATACCAATTTTCGTTTCGATTGATCAAACTTTGGCCGAGATACAGCCTCTTAACCAATTTTGGGTGGACCTTGTTAAGTTTGCAAAAGCATAACTTTTGAAGAATGAAAAATAAAAAAAATCTGTTCAGTCATTTCTGTGCGGCTCAGTCTGATGATCATTTGAGCGCATGTTTGGACAAAATTGGACAAAATTTGAAGGAGGAGTAGCGAAAAAACTGAATACTGTACATTTCAAAATGGCCACTACTGTAATGGGTGGGGTCTTAATGTACGGTATTGGTTGTGATCAGCATGATGAGAGGAATCAGGTGTACTAAGTTTCATGTCTCTAGAGCAAAGGGTTCAAAAGTTATAACCATTTCAATGTTGAATTTTTGAACTGGTGGTGGCGCTATAGAGTTGGTCCTAGAGGGTCAAAAATGGGTCCAATTACTATTCATTAGCATCACTACAAGTGTGCCAAATTTCATCATTTTCCTACGTACGGTTCATAGGGCTGCCATAGACTTCCATTGGCGGAAGAAGAAGCAAATTGTTATTTTGACAATAACAATTGCTAATATAGCTGCAAGCAGCAATGCAGGGGCCAAGCCCGGAAGCAGCAGCAACTCCGACATTTGGAAAAAAAAAAACTGTTGGGTCAGTAGTACAAGTGAAAATAACCTCATAATTAAGATTTTTTTAATATATAAATTTGCTGCATGTTATATTTTTGGAAGTCCTTTCTCAGACAGACACCATGTCTAGAACTGAAACAACTTTTCCACCACTTAAGGCCACAGTACCTCTTGCGGTCTGGGCATGTGCCACACAGGATTCGAACCCACGACCGCAATGGTTCGGGATTCGTGACACGTGGTTTAGCAGCTTGCGCCACACAGAAGACGCAAATAACTGAGCTGCAGAGGAGATCCTTCAGTATAAGAATAAGCACACAAAATCATGTTAACGCAATTAGCATGCTAAGCTAGCTCAATGCTAACATAGCTAATGGTTATCCTGATAGCTGAAGAGCCGCATTCAAAAGAATTGCACTTGGTTAGCATGCTAAACAATTATTATGCTAAGCTAACTAGCATAAGTCAACAAACACAGGCTAGGTCAACTTTGGAGGCAAATATCTCTCAAACGATAGCGAATATCAAAAATCTGTTCAGTCATTTCTGTGCGGCTCGGTCCAAAGATTATCTGACAAAATTTTAAACAAATTCGAGCAAGATTTGCAGGAGGAGTAGCGAAAAAATGGTTTTTCATTTGCTCCAATATGGCGGACAGTCACATTGTTGGAAAATGAAAAATGAGACATCGGTGGAATCGTTATAAGCCAAGGAACATATTGACATAAAGAAATTACATTTTGAACAATATTTGCAAAAGTTATAAGCGTCTTTACAAAAAACCTTATAACTTGGGAACACTAGGTGGCGCTGTGATAAAACTTCTCATGTACCTTCAGGGCATGCTAATGATGATCCATGCCAAATTTGGTCAAGAAATTTCAAAGAGGTTTAAAGATATTGCAAATTATTACAAAATTCAAAATGGCGGACACGAGGTATAGCCCATCATGTCAAAATCGATATCCACGGATTCGGCATGATCCAAGGAATCCATAGATACCACATT